GATGAGCCAGTGAGTGAAGGAAAGCCAAGGCCTGAAAGCCAAGGTGTGCCAGCAACTGCCGGAAGCTGGGAAGAGGCAAGGAACAGTTCTCCCTCTAGAGACTTCACAGAGAGCGTGGCCCTGCCGACACCGTGGTTTCAGACTTCCAGCCTCCATAACTGTGAGAGAATAAATTTCTGTTGTTATAAGCCACCCAGTTTGTGGTAACTCGTCATGGCAGCCCTGAGAACAAAACCGGTTTACTGCAATTCTTATCTAAATTCCAGCCAGAACTTTTGCAGATATAAGCAAGATTATGCCAAAATGAATGTGTGAGGCGGGAATTAGAACAGCTAAAGCTATTTTGAAAAGGAAGAATGAAGGGGTGAAATCACTCTATCCAATTTTAAGACTTACTGTATAGCTACAGTAATCAGGACTGTGGTATTGGCAGGGGGCGAGACACATAGAGAACAGAAGAGAACCCGGCGAAGACTACACGAATGTGCCCAACTGATTTTTTTTTTTTTTGGTGACATTGGTTAATGAAATCCAGTAAGTTTCAATTTAATGGTAAGCGCCCAACTGATTTTTGTCAAAAGTCTAAAAGCAATTTAATGGAGGAGACAGCCTCGCCAAATGGTGCTAAAGTAACTAACTGGACAGCCACAGGTGAAAAGGAACCTCAACGAAACCTTACACCTCAAACCGAAATTAACTTTAAAAGCACCACGAACTTAAATGTGAACATAAAACTATAAAAATTTAAGGTAAAAAAAGAAAATCTTCGAGATGTAGGGCTAGGCAAAGAGATCTACAATCGACGACACCAAAAGTATGATCCATAAGAGAAAATGATAATTGGACAAAATTGAAAACTTTTGTTCTGTGAAAGACCTTGTTAAATAGATGAGAAGTCAAGCTACAAACTGGGAGAAAATATTTTCAGATCACATATCTGACTAATGCCTAGAATAGGCAAAGAACCCTAACATTGAACAGTAAAAAAACCCAAAATACTCATTACGAAATGGACAAAAGACTTGAACAGACCTTTCGCCAGAGACAATAAACAGAAGGCAAATACGCACATGAAAATTTGGTCAGCATCATTAGCCATTAGGGGAAAGCAAATTAAAACTACAGTGACACGTCGCCATACACCTATCAGAATGGCTAAAAGAAAAATTAGTGACAACATCAAATGCTGACAAGGATGGAGGAGAATCCTGGGTCACTCACACATTCCTGGAGGAATGTAAAATGTTACAGCCACCCTGGAGAACAGTTTGGCAGTTTCTTTAAAAATTAAACTTGCAATTACCATATAAGCTAGTAATTGCTTCCTTTGGTACTAATCCCAGAAAAAATGAAGATTTGTGTTCACGCAAAAACCTGTGCACAAATGCTCTCAGCATCCTTATCTGCATAGCCCCAAACTGGAAACAACCCAGACAGTCAACAGGTTAAGCAAATTGTGGTACATCCATACCATGAACTACGACTCGGCAATAAAATGACACACAGCAACTTGGAGAATCTCCAGAGAATTATGCTGACTGAAAAAAGCCAATCTCGAAAGGTTATGTGCTGTGTGATTCTATTTCTCAAAAGCTATATACTGTATGATTCGATTCATATAACATTCTCGAAGTGACAAAACTATAGAAATTGATAATAGTGAAAGTAGTGATGATAGTCGTCATGTCACCCTTTATAGTCCCTTCCCACTTGGGTGGGGGTTGGAGAAAAGTGGGAAGGGACTGTAAGGGTGACATGACGACTCTTTGCAGTGGTGGAAAAGCTCTGTGTCTCGACTGTAATAACGCCAAAACCCTGGTTGTGACATTGTAATATATTTTTGTGAGATGATGCCATTGGGGGAACTGGGTGAAGGGTACATAGGATCTCCCGTGTTACTGCTACAACTACATGTGAATCTACAATCATTTCAAAATAAAATTAAGAAAAAGAACCAGAGCAACCTACTTGCTCTTAAAACTAATCTAGAATATGTAGCTACTATAGAGTACACAGGCTTGCCTGCTCAAGCATGCAAGTCATCCCTCCTGCTTTTTCATTGGCAGTAGATTCTGAATACCAACTCGAACCTCTCCTCTGAACTGAAATTCCCCAGCAAGAGCAGGTAAGATGTATGTTCTGGTGGGAAGAGTCCTGGAACTGAGGTCAGAAGACCTGGGTTCTAATCCTGATTCATTCATTAGCCATGTGAATTTAAGCAAATTGGTAACTCGACTTTTTTTAACCTTAAAACCTTCCTCATTTGTAAATCACGGGTAATAATACCAGCATCCTCTACTTCATAGAATTTCTGTTGAGGGTGGTAGGAGGTAACATCAAATAATGGATGTAAGAACACTTTGTAAAATGCAACGCTTGATACTGTGAGGCACGAGGTTTTATATTTGTGTGATAGTAATTTTGCCACTGTGTGGTGGCACTTGATAAATGTTATCTGCTCAATAAATAATGAATGAGTGTCTGGCCATTAGAAAAGTCAAACAAGGGCAGAATTTTCTCCCAAGTGTTTTAAACAAAGGAGATGCACAGCACATTCAATCAAACAGGAAAAAGCAGCATACACTATATATAAAGAGCCAAGAGAGTTATTAAATTAACCTCTGCATAAAAAAGCTAAATACCCCGTCATGTTTCAGGGAATAAGCAATAATGGATGGGAGACTTGTCAAAAAAGCAGAAAAACATCAAGCTCTCTAAGAGGCAGCCTGAGAGCCAGGAGACGAAACAGTGATATATTAGATAGAATAATAGTGGCCAAAACAAAATGCTCAGAGTAGTTTGGGCCTTATTTAGAAACTATGGAAATCGATCAATTTGGATTTATAGTACAATTTAATTTGTCTAAGTTACTATGGTGAACACATCTGGAGGTCCAGATGAGGCTCACTGAATTTTCTCCTCTTCGCAAAAGAAAGAAAGAAATATATAGATCTCCAAAATGTTCATTGCTGAAGTTGTTATTATTTTTTTTTAACCAGGCCATAATTACATGGCTCCAGGAGAATGCTGGGTTTCTGTAAGTCGATGCTGGTTTGCACCAGGCCATCGCCGATACACCATCCCACCGTCCATTACGATTTGCAGTGGGAGCCCAGGGCCAAGTTGGGATCCTCGGCTAGTACTACGAACTCTAGCGATGACTTTCTGCGTGACTTTAAGCAAGCCATTTAACCTTCTTAATATTTGACAGCTCCCTCACAACAACAATGCTCCCTTCATGTGTATATGAGCTGTTCAAGTTTATAACACATACTATTATTTCAATTGATCTTAAAACCTCAGCGTGCCAGTCAGAGCAGTATTATTTCTGTTTCAAAAGAGGGATATTCATTTGCAAAAACAAACGAGAAACCATTTAGACCCTTACAAACAAACAAACAAAACAAAAATTAACTCTAAACGGGTCGTAGATCTATATGTAAAAGATAAAAGTTTAAAAACTTCTACAAGAAAACAGAGGAGAAAATCTTAGTAAATTTGGGTAGGAAGTTTTCTTATCATGACCAAACACTTGACCTATAAAAGAAAAAAATTGATAAATCTGACTTGATCAAAATTCAGAACTTTCGCTTTTTAAATGATTCCATCAAGAACATGAAAAGCAAGCCCAAAACTGGAATACTTACAAATCATATACCTGATAAAGGATTTGTATCTGGAATATATAAAGAACTCTTATAACTCAATGAGAACCCACTTTTAAAAATGGGAAAATAATTGAATATCCATCTTTCCAAAAAAGATATACAAATGGTCAATAAGCACATGAAGAAAAAATGATCAAAACTATTAGCCATCAAGGAAATACAAATCAAAACCACAACGAGGTACCACTACATACCCACTAGGATGGCTATAATAGAAAAGAGGGAAAAAAGCATTGACAAGGATGTGAAGAAATTGGAACCCTCATACACTGCTGGTAGGAATGTAAAATGGTGCAGCCACTTTGGAAAACAGATTGCAGCTCCTCAAAAAGTTAAACATAGAGTTACCATATGACCCAGAAATTCATTGAGAATTGAAAACATATGCCCACACAAGACTTACATGCACGAATGTTCACAGCAGCATTGTGCATAATGGCCAAAAAATAGAAACAACTCAAACGTCTACTGACTAGTGAGTGGATAGACAAAATGTGATATATCCATTCAACAGAATATTTTATTTTTCAGCAATAGGAAGGATTAAAATACTGATACATTCTACAGCAGATGAACTACAAAAACACACTAAATTGAAAGAAGTCAGAAACAAGAGGTCACATATTGTATGATTTCATTTATATGAAGTGTCCAGAAAGAGAAAATCTACAGACCGAAAGCAGATTAGTAGTTAGTTGCCTGATGGTGAGAGCAGGGACTGACTGCCAACGGGCAAGAGAAAACTTTTTGAGTAATGGAAATATTCTAAGACTGGATTGTGGTGACAGCTGCATAATGCTATGAATTTACTAAAAATCACTGAATTGTACACATACCATAGGTAAATTTTATGGTATGGAAAGTATACCTTAATAAAGCTAATTTAAAAATCACTGAATAAACCTGTACTGAAAAGAAAAAAAACGTCAGAGGAGGGACTAGAACCCAGGTCTTCAGCGTTCCCTCTACTCTATCACTGGCCTCTGAGAAATGGCAGAAATAACAATGAGCGTTTTCAAAGGATTAATCATCATCACAGTGGAAGGAACAATTCTATCAGGTTTTAAAAATAGTTTTTAAATTTTTTTTTAAAATAATTCAAAAAGCCAGGTGGTACTGCTATTTTGACCTAATCCATAGTATACTCGTATTAATTTTTTCTTACTTTTAACTATTTACATTTCATAAACCCAGAGAAATTTTGCAACATTTAACTACATTGTACTAGGAATTTATTTACCTTAAAACTCATATCAGAAAGCATTATTCTATGTAATTTCTAATACACAAGACAGTTCAGATGTTTTAAATTAGCTGAAAGTCTAATATCACTGTTTGACTTACGTGTTGGCTAATAAAGCTCACAGCATCTTCAAAATAGCCCAAAATTTCTTCTAGGGGACAGAGTTCTTCACCTGGCACCCGATCCGGCACTAAGACGTTAATCAAGTTGTGCATACATTGGCTGAAATCAAAAAGAGAAAACTCAGAAGGAAAGAAATCATTGGCTTCATGGCTAAGATAAGTAAAATCTGGAACTCATCCCAGACTAAGAGCTTTCAAACACGTCTGTTCTTCCCTCAATTTTATCTGGCCTCCAACCTTAGAAGACAGATTTTTTATTCTGTAAAAGAGGCTGACCTATCCTTTTTTGTGATGCTTACGGTTGTCTTTCTTTCTTTTTTTTTTAGTTTCCTACACTAAGGAGTTGTGGCTGGTTACTGTATTTCATGAATAGTTCAATCTACAGGCCCTTTAAAGCATCTCGTTACATCCCCAAAAGGGCAAGGGAATTGGAATTTAAATTGGGAATAATTCCACGAGAACTATCTCTGAAATCTTGGAAAAGGGAGACTGCAATGACGTTTTCCAGAGAAAATCACACATCTATTTTTCTCCATGTTTAGGCGCAGAATACATAAAATCTCCAATAAATGTATTTTAGATTATCTACAGCACTTACTGGCCTTTAAGGAAAAGTGCTTAGAAATAAAATCTGAGGCAAATATAGCCAAACCTTAGCATCTGTTAAATTTGAGTGGTGGATACATTGTTGTTTGTTATATTAATCTCTGTCCTATTTCTGTACATTTGGCATATTTAGTAATGAAATGAAGAAAGGGCGGTACTTAGGAATTCTAGTATATACACAGACTCACGCAAAAAGGCAACTTTTCCCCTTTTTCTCCTTTGGGAAAACCAGACTCCCCGACTTAGCTAATTAACTCTTGGTCTATAACACAGCTCTGAAAACAGAGCGAGCTCTTCTGAAGGCTTTTCAGTGCAGGAGTCACAGGAGTGCCCTGATCACAGTTTAGGCTGCGCCAGTTGAGTATGACTGATGACTTATGAGGCACCGACTATAGCTCTTTCGGCTGTCAAAAAGCCTGGATACAGCGTTGACTTGCAATTACTAACCTGTATTTCAAAACATTGACTGATTCTTTTATTTTGTGGAGCAATAAAGCCCTTTTCAAGGCCTTTAGAGCGATGGAAGGATAGCGCGCAGGCGTTTCCATGGCTATTGCTACAAGAAGGGAAGAAAAAAAGGTTGTGAACACCATAACTTCCTCCATCGCAGTTTTTATCCCAGGTTCCCACTTGCTTTCCTTAACAAAACTGGCCTGAAACAGATGAAAACACACACACACACACACACACACACACAATGAATTGTATAAAACGATGAATCCACGGTGGCTTTCAGAAACAAATTCTACTTTCTGGGCAGAGTAACACAGTAGGATCACCAAGTACAGCCTTTCTTCAGTGAACATCAACAGAGAACCTAGTGTTTCTGCAACCCTGCACAAAGTCATGTGAGTCTTATGAACCAGAGTCAAGGAGGGGCACAGTAAAGAAGCAGCAGAAAGCAGGTCAGTAAAAGACCATTAATCAAAACCAGATTTATACTGTAATGTATTGTTGTCTGATCCTGAAAATGGGAAACGCTTGACATGAGGGTGAGTGTCCACGATAACAAACCCTAAAACTTCCAGAGGCATTTACCAGGACTCTAGAATCGGAGCTCCATTACACAAGGAGCAGTGGTCACCATCGTGTGTCCGTTACGTATACACCATGCAAATGTTGTGGGAACGCTGCCTTGGCAAGACCAAGAAAGACAAATGTGCACCGGGGGCGACCTGATGCCCTTGTTAACACACACAGGCTCGAGAGGAGGGTGACAGATTCGAAGAAGATAATTAAGCCACTTCTTGCAGTATGGACCTACAGAGGCTCTGGGTTCCCAAATACCACTTACAGCCTAGCTAGAAATTTGAGGGTGGCAACTGTGTTCAAAGATGTGACCAGTATTTCTCTGTATGCCTTAATAAATTGCTTTGATTGCATCACCTTTGATGAGTGGAACGGTGGATTATCATCTCTAGCTAGCTGAGCCCTCCTATCGTGTGGTTATGTGATTCAATTCCACACGTAGAATAAATATGAGCACCAATCATGAGCAATGCACAAACGATCACGATACAAAAAAGTTCAAGAATGTCATTAGAAAACGATAAAGAACTGTGAGGAAAGGATTTTTCCACCCTGGAGGTAAGAGAGAACAGAAAAGAAATGAGAAGGTAGCACAATTTAAATGGGTACAAGCCTTCCAAAAGCATAAATGTAGCTCTTACATGCGATCGTCTCCAATGTTTTACTCTCCACGTTAGGTATTTGCCACAACGATTCCAGGACGGTGTCCAGTGACGGATCGTTCTTTTTGGCTTTAACTTCAAACTCATACAGCAGAAGCAATTTCTCACATGGATCATCTGAGAAGTCCCCTAAGAAGGAGGCAAAAATGCAACATTCTCTGTGATTACATTTCATTATTCTCTCCTATTCTAATCTCTCTTCTGGGGAGATTTTGCTATTGAGGAAAATTAATTTTACTTACAATTTGAAAGTCATCCCAGCTTCTGCAGAACTATTTTTTACATTTTTAAATCTATAAACTCAACAATACTTTCAGCACCCTGTATCGCAATCACTAGCATCATCTACTGATTTATTTAAAATTGTTGCCATGGCTCCTGCAGCTGCAATTACTAACCTGTAATCCAGTGTTTCCCTGTCTCACTTGAACGACTGACTTAACCGGCACATACAGTGGCGTACAAACGACCACACTTTTATTTTAAGCAAAGGAGAGGTTCCAAACTGTTTGATTTGGTCAGCCAGCAGTAGTTCTTGGGTATCACCAAGGGCAGAATCTTGTATCAGGTGACATATACCATACTATGCGATACGGTTTTCATTCACCTGTTAGACTGAACTCATAAAAATGTTTTGAGGTCTAGCATACGTAAAATAAACTGAATGAGGTACGATCATCTTAAACAACTTGATGGAATTTTACATATGTTTAATTCCACGGAACCGCTACCTGGGATCATGCTATAGGACGTTTCCAACACTTGTGTTCCTTTCCAGTCACTGCCACCGTAGCAGAGTTAACAGCTATTTTTACTTTTATCACTACTGATTGTTACTGCCTGTTGCTGAACTTCACTGCTAGTACTCAATAATATAATCGACTTTTGAATATTGACCTTGTATCCTATAATTTACTAAAATTATTTATTAGCTCCAGTAACTTTTTGTAGATTCTCTGGGATTTTCTATATAGACAATCATGTCATCTGCATGCAAGGGAGATAGTTTTATTTCTTCTTTTTCACTCTACAGGCATACCTTGTTTTACAGCACTTCATTTTTACAAGTGAAAACCAATTAATGTAATACGCCATACCAATAAAATAAGAAATAGAAACTACACGATGATCTCAATAGTCAGAAAAGCCCGTGACAAAATCCAATGTACTTTCATGATAAAAACTATTAACAAACTTGGAATAGAAGGGAATTTCCTCAACCTGATAAAGGACATCTATGAAAAGCCCGCAGCTAGCAACATACTTAATGGTGAAACACCGGATTCCTTCCTTTAAAAGTCAAGAAAAAGACAAGGATGCACATTTTCGCCACTGCTATTCGACATTGTCCTAGGGGTCCTAGCTAAAGAAATTAGGCAAGAAAAAGAAACAAAAGACATGAAGACTGGAAAAGAAGTAGTGAAACTATCTCTATTCATATACAATGTGTTCTTGTAAACAGGTCCTTAGGGAGTCCAGCAAAATACCATTAGGACCAATAAACAAGTTTAAGAAGATCAGTATACAAAAATCAATTCTATTTCTATATGAGAGCAATGAACAAACTAAATATAAGATTAAGAAAACAATCCTGTTCACAATAGCATCAAAAAGAATAAAATACTTAGATCTAAATTAAATACGAGAAGTACAATACTTGTACACTGAAAGAAATTTTAAAAGATGTAAACAAGTGGAAAAATACTCCATGTTTATGAATTAGAAGACTTAACACTGTTAAAATGGCAAAACTCCCCCAAATAATCTACAGATACAACACAATTCCTATCAGAATTCCAGCTGGCTTATTTCTTTTTTCAGAAACTGACAGACTGATCCTAAAATTCACATGGAAATTCAAGGGGCCCAGAATAGCCAAAACAATCTTGAAAAAGAAGAACAAATTTGGAGGACTAACACTTCTTGATTTCAAAACTTAATACAAAGCAATGATCATCAAGACAGAGTAGTACTGGCATAAGGATAGACGTATGTATAATCAGTGCATTAGAACTGATAATCCAGAAATAAAACCATATGTCTACGGTCAACTAGTTTTCCACAAAAAGGCAAAGACCATCCAATGGGGAAATAATAGTTTAAAACAAATAATTCAGGGACAACTGGATAGCCACATGGAAAAGAATAAAGTTGGACACTTATTTCACATACCACATACAAAAATTAACTCAAAATGGATCAAAGACCTAAATGTAAGAGCAAAAACTATAAAACTCTTTAGAAGAAAATATAGGAGTACACACTCGTGACTTGGGATTCGACAGCCGATTCTTAAATATGATACCAAAAGGAGTCATTGTGCCAAGATAATTGTACAGAAAAATTTCCAGATTCACAGCTCTATTTTTATAAAAGAAAACCACAATGTATGAGACCAAATATGTTAGGATCAGGGAGACTTGAATGGCAATTCTTCATCAGGGCAGGCACTTGGGAGAAGGAATAGTATACGTCTCCATAAATATCTGGAAATCATAACGAACCTATGTCCTGAACCTGTGACCCCTACTAAGAATTCCCTACTCACTGCCATTAGGGCTTTTTTTGTATTATTAGGGTCAGCTTATGCTGCCTGTGACACATAATTCAAATGGAATGCTGCCAAAAGTGAAGATTTTTAAGGAGCAATTTCTATCAGAGATACTTGGGTGTCTTCAGATAATTGTTTTAATTTCCTTTGGGGGGAAAAAAATCCTAAATTCAGGCTCTCCTATTTCTGTGACCCAAGTCCAGGCCCAAAATGTATACTAGAAAATCCACTCAAGATTTGACATTTTGTTTAATGCGCCTGAGGATCAGCTCCAATTGCCTTTTTTCCCTTGGCAAATCTCAAAACTATCATCTCTGAGAATTTCTTATCCATTGAGAACTAATCTCTGAGCCAAAAGCAGCTCAAGACTGGTTGATAGTTATTAAACCAATGGAGGGACCAAGCAAAGACTGCCTGCAAAAGGAGTAAGCATTTAGTTCTAGTTTTGGTGTTTATAGGTGAATAGATAAAAATTGTTTATAATTCCAACATGAGCCTTGATAAATGGTAGCTTTTATCTACTGCATTTGGATAAATTAGGATGACCTTTCCATTTCTGGGCTGAGGAGACCATGATATATAAATATATAACATAAAAGTGTAGACAATCCTCTGCCTTGTCAGCTAAACTTTCTGCTAGTCCAGGACCCATGCTGGGTTTTGTTCTAAAGTGCTTAGTTTTGCCCCGTTTGCTATAACCATTAAGACTCTTGACAATGACACTTGGTGAATACTTTATAGCAAGGCCAAAATTATAGCACTGGAGGTAAGTGAAATTCTTTCTTGCAATGACTTATAAAAAGAACTAAAGGGTTTTCTCCACCTTTGTGTTTTTGAGATAAAAAATCTATTATATTACAAAATAAATAGCTTGAAGAAATCTAATAGCTGGGATTACTTCTAGTTTTAACTTTTGATGACTCTTTCTGTACACAGTATGACTCCAAGGAACAAGCAGTGAAGTGTGTTGTAAAGGAAAAGTACAGATTAAGAGGGCAAGTAGTGGTGAAAGCCGCTATTTTCGAAAGGGTGTGGTCAGATGAGACTTCTCGGAGGGGGTGACACCTGAGCAGAGGGTATGGGGGGACAAGCCACATGAATCTCCGGGAGCAGCACAGGAGGACCTACGTGGCCCAACTTATAGTCCTCTGGCTGCTATGCGGCCACTGCGAGAGGGGGCAAGAGCGAGAGCAGAGGCGGGGAGCTGTGACAGTGCTCCAGGTGAGAGACGAGGCAGGTGGGGCAACAGCAATAGTTTCGGCCTGATTTCTTGTCGGGAAGGGGCACACCGCAAGTCACACTACTTTCAGCCTCACCTGCCACTAGATGACACCTGGATAATAAATAATTCTAAAACTAACAATGTTCTCTTATACTCCCGGCTTTTGTTTATTCAGTCCCCCACCTTTTCCTGCTCATTCTTCAAGAGTAACTTCCAATATCACCTTTTGAAATGACCTGTTTCTTCCTCGGTGGTCCCCCACCCTGTCCATTTCTATTAGTGAGGTTATTTCACTTTGCTTCATATACGTGTAACAGACTATGCCTGAACCCCTCTCTCCGCTGTGCATATCTTAAGGACAGAGACAGTAATGCATGTCCTTAGGTTCCCACATGACCCAGGAGCGCCTAGGAATAAAGATTTCGTGGAGTGAACATAGTGAGCTGCTTTCCTTAGGTCCCTAATATGATGGCACGTCAGCGTTACTTCTTTTGTAAAAACCAATTTCCATAGCACAAAGATTTCGGTCACTGTTTATACAGTTCTTAATTAACTTTGATTTGGAATCAATTTTTAAAAGGTTGGTGCTTTCCAATTTTCCTCCAGGAGCTTATGATTCCCCAGCTTTGCACTTTCTCTTATTTTGTCTATTTATAGTTGGTGGCTTAATGACTTATTTACATTACTCATATGCTGGGCTTATAAGTTTAAGCATTATTTTATTAAAAATACCCAAGTTTAAGAAATATAAACCTTTAACAAGTCAGATTCATTTTTTCTAAATGTATTTTTGTTTTAATTATTAAAGTTCTACATGTTCATTAGAAAATTCAGACAATACGAAAGGGAAATAAAAAGTCTCCCGAACTCACTAATTCTTGTTCCGAGAGGTAGCGAATGTTGAGTTTGGTATGAATCCTTCCAAGACTTTACACGTGATGTGGCATTCATGTGTATGTGTGTATATATACATGTGGATGTGCTAGGTATCGGATAGTCAAAGGTAAGCAAAAGCAGACACGGACTCTGTCCTCACAGAGCTTACAGTCTAGTTTATAAGCATACGAACATGCTTACACGTTTTCAAAGTAAAAATGGAATAAGAAAAGGCCAGCAAAAGCACAACACTCCAAGTAAGGAGCACACCTCGAGGTGCAAATCCTTTATCAACAATAACGAGAACAGAGCCTATAGGCTGGTGGAAGGAATTTGTCTGGATTTGGTTTGGTTTTGAGAAGCAAAAGAGAAGGGGCTGAAGAGTGAGCAGCTGGTCAGTGAAGCAGTGGAGAAGAATCTGTGTTAGGAGAAGCCCTACAAGTACCTACATCCACTGGCTCAGAAAATATAGAGATTACAGAACCTCACAATGAACCTACAGTGACACATCATCGTCACCCAAAGTCCACAGTTTACATCAGGGTTCACGCTTGGTGTATGTTCTGTGGGTTTTGACAAATATATAATTACATGTATATGCCATTATAATATCATACAGAATAGTCTCATTTCCCTAAAAATTCTGCGTTCTGTCCTTCCCTCCTTCCCCAAATAACCCATGGCAATTGGCGATCTTTTTATTGTCTCCATAGTTTTGTCTTTACTTGAATGTCATATAGATAGAATCATACACTATGTAGCCTTTTCAGATTGGCTTCTCTCACTCGGTAATATGCATTTAAGGTTCCTCCATGTCTTTTCATGGCTTAATAACTCATTTCTTCTTAGCTCTCAAAAATATTTCATTGTTTGGATATTTCATTATTTATCCATTCATCTACCAAAAAGCACAGGTGACGGACTGTAAGGTAAGACTATTCTCAGTTTTGTAAGAAACCGCCAACCTGTCTTCCAAAGTGGCTGTACCATTTTGCATTCCCATCAGCAACGAATTGGGATTCCTGTTGCTCCACATACCTGCCAGCATTTGGTGTTGTCAGTGTTTTAGATTTCTGCCATTCAGATAGATGTGTAGTGGTTTCTCACTGTTTTAATTTACAGTCTCTAATGATACAATTGATAGATATAGGTAACTGAGAGATAGATGATAATTGATAGATAGATGATAGCTAGAGATTCAGACATGTATAAATATGTATGTATCTATCTATCTATCTATCTATCTATCTATCTATCTATCTATCTATCTATCTATGTCTAGCTGAGTTCTTAGAAAGAACTGGATTTTTCAGTAGACATGTAGCATATACTTTTAAAATAAAAGTCATCGAAGCTATGAATTTCACTCTGAGCACTACTCTAGCACTTTAGATTCGGTTATGAGGTATTTCCACCATCATTATTTTCTAGATAGTCTGTACTTTCCCTTTTTTAAAATATCCAAGTGGTAAAGGGTTTTGTTTCTTTTCATTATTATTTTCTAGTTTTATTGCATTGTGATCAGACAGTGTCATCTGTTTTATTTATGTGGCTTGGAATTTATTCAGGTTTCCCTTATGATCGATCAGTTTTGTAAATGTTCAAAGGCTACATGACAAGAAGATAAGTTTTCTATATTCAGAATATAGAGTAGTTTTTAGGCTATAGAGTATATTTCTATCAAATCTTCTGTGCTAAGTCTCTTATTTAGGTATTTTCTAGTTTTTTTGTTGTTTTTATTCCTTTAAATTCCTGTCATAGATTAAAAGAGATGAATTAAATTTCATGTGTTCTTCCTTATAATTCCTATAGTTTGATACCAAAAATCCATCAAAGACATCATTCAAACACAAAAAGAAAATGACAGACCAATAATTTAGGACTATTAGGAAAGTCAATTAAGCAACATTTAAAAAGTAATATCACACTAATGACCAAATAGGGTTTATTCCAGAAATGCAAAGATGACTTAATTTTAGGACATCTACTTTTGTAATTCAATATAGTAATACTTCACAGGAGAAAAACCATGATTATCTCTATAGGATCTGAAAAGACATGTAATTCAATTCAATATCTATTGATTTTTAAAAATCCTATCTAAAACAGGAACAAATGGACACAATATAAAAAGTCTAAACCTAAAAGGTTTACTAATGGTTATTTCACAACAAAATGTTAGCAGTATCTGATATCATGACTGTGGTTTAGAAGACTCTGGAGCCTATATTTAAGTCAGTGTCAAAGGCTGATTAAATTAGACATTAAATCTAGTGGCCCGAGAGCAATAATGTCATATTGAATAATAATGATCCTATTTTCATATTCAATACTATACTTCCATAAAAAGCAAGGCAAAAATATTCTTCCTCCACGCGCTGTGTCACAGAGTCAAAATACAGACATACAGTGGGGAAAAATTAGTTCTTAAAGAAGCATTCGACTGGTTATCGAGCACTGCAGCTGAACAAATTTCTGATGATAAAAGAGTGGGTTACTGCGATTTCGAACCCCGGTCATAACAACATTAGCAACCTCCCAGGTCCCACTATACCTGTTTCTTTCAGGAGATTCCAGACTTCTCTGCATTTTTCGATCTGCTCAAGTGCGCGATTCAGTAATATGGTCTGTTTGGCAACAATATAACAAAAATTAGTCTCGAGCAAACAAAACTTTAAACAAATTAAAATAATTCTGATATCATTTTTATTAAAAAGTTAAAGCAAAGTGATTTAAAAATTATAGTTTAAACAGAACGTTTTGGAAATTTTATACAGAAATATTAGCCTCTTTGTACTTTTCCTTAATGTCCTGGGAAAATGAGGATTAAACAGAAAACCTGAGCATTATCCATTTCTTTAATAATCTAGGACAGAAGAGAAGCACTTCCAGAATGGAAGCACTTTCATGAAGCCCCTGCCCAGTGAAACGACATAACTGAAAATTATAAAACATAATCATGTAAAGACTCAGGAAATTGCGCTAAGGGCATATAAGTCTCGGTAAGAAAAGTGAGCATCGGTGACAGCTGAGCTCAGTGTGACCTAAGAGCTACTTTAGGTGGGTGTGGCCAAGATGGGGGGCTCCCTCTAGCGTCAGCTTCCAGGCTAGGGATTCCCAGAGGGAGCACGCAACCACCCTGTCCCCCAGGTCTGTATTGCAGAAGCTCTATTATAAACAAGCCAAACTGGGAGGCCTGGGGCTCTCTTCCTCTACCCAGTCCCCAGCTATTTCAGGCATGGCAGATCGGGAATACTAGGTCTCAATTGCCCTCACTTCAGCTTGCTTATGGGATTGGGTTTTCATGCTGGGAAAGGTAAGCCAAGGATGCCAGGGACTATATGATTCCTGCCCAGCCCCTGACTCAGAACTGGACTGTCACTCTAATAGAGATGGGCCACTGTTCCTGCCTCCAACAACAAAACAAGGAGTACAGAATTTCTACTCGGGAGGAGAGGTGGGGCATTAGAAGAGTGAGCTTTGTAGCTCTCCCCAAAAGGACTGACTTTAATTGGAAAAGAGTATGGGAAAGTTCAAGTCTAAGGGCGCTATAAAAAACCAAGGATATCTTAGGGTCATGCTATTAAGAGAGGACTGGTAGCTCAATAACATCAACAAGCAACAGTAGACCAGCTAGAAGTTTACAGAGAACGAAGAAAAGAGAAAGCTAAGATCCTTTTCCTTTCTAAGGGGCCTTACTTTAATTGGATCAGACTGTGGAACAATTTATGCCAAAGAGCATCTTCGAAAATACACACACACACACACACACACACACAC